AAGTTTCATCTTGCGCTTTATCTACAATTGTCAACACCCGCTTTCTAAACATTGTGGCATATTTTCCACCGACGAATTGTATTCGGCCCTTCTTGTTTTGGTAAAAACTACTCAATATACTCACTTTCAGGAAGAAATTGAGTCCAAACGTTTTTCTAAACCTCTACGTAAGTTGAATGTTTTTTTAGATGATAACAATATTCTTAGAGTGGGAGGTCGACTGCATAATGCATCTATATCTTATTCATCTAAGCACCCCATATTATTACCTAGACAAAGTCTATTAACTACACTCGTCATTCGCCACATTCATGAAAAGTATTTTCATGCTAGCTTTAGAAGTACTCACTTCTTACTAGCTCAACAGTTTTGGGTTCTATCCTCAAAACGAGCCATTAACTCAGTGATTTCGAAATGTTTACGCTGTTGGAAAACATCTCCTACCTCTTATCAACCCCCAATGGGAAATTTGCCGCTGTCTCGAGTGTCTGAGGTAAAACCTTTCGGTCGCTCCGCTGTTGATTTCGCAGGCCCATTTAATATAACTATTAGTCGTCACAGAGGAGTAAAAAGTTGCAAAGCTTACCTCTGCATTTTTGTCTGCTTGGCTACCAAAGCTGTACATTTGGAACTTGCCAGTGATTTATCTACACCAACATTTTTAGCCGCTCTACAAAGATTTATTGCAAGGCGTGGAAAAGTCTCACAGATATACAGTGATTGTGGCACAAATTTTATGGGTGCAAAACGCGAATTGCTTTCTCTTATGGAACAGGCCAGCGCAAGTGAAACTATTCAATGGTTTCCTAGCCCCGCCGGAGCTCCTCACTTTAATGGTCTAGCCGAAGCTGGCGTTAAAAGTGTTAAAACTCACCTTCGCCGCGTCGTAGGTGATCAAATTCTCACATTTGAGGAATTCTATACAGTTCTGACACTTATAGAATCCATATTAAATTCTAGACCACTAGTTGCCATATCTAATGATGTCGACGATATCAACGCCTTAACGCCCGGTCATTTCTTGACCATGGAACCTTTAACCGCATTTCCCGTTCCCAGTTTCGAACACGTCCCCCTAAATCGCCTTTCTAGGTGGCAATTGTTACAGCGCATCCATCAAGATATTTGGCGTCGCTGGCATAAAGAATATTTGCATACCCTACAGCAGCGAGCCAAATGGTTAGACCCTGCTAACACCCCCAAACTTGGTACTTTAGTTTTGGTTAAAACCGATAATTTACCTCCTAATAAATGGTTGTTAGGCCGTGTTACTCAACTGCATTTTGGTAATGATAACATAGCCAGAGTAGCTACGGTAAAAACACAAAATTTTATTTTAAAACGGCCATTGGTAAAACTGTGTCCACTACCTAATAATTAATTTTTTTTTTTATATGCTACCTGTAGTATTTTATAATTGTTTTTTGGTTTAATTCTATTATTTGAACTTTCCTTTTTTTTGCTTTAATATTTAGTTTTTATTTTGGGGAATTGTCTAATCAGTTTAAAAATGTATTATTTACATTTTTTCGGGGCAGGAAATGTTCCAGAATGAATTAATTCCTATTTTATTATTTAAATATTCGCGCTTTGTCTCAAATCGCTTACTTAAAACTTTGGCCCACACATGCGCTTCGTCTGACTGTAAGACAAGTGAAACGCCGTTGGACGAAGAGTACTACAGAAATTGCCGCGACGAACGCTTTGTGGTGTGTATGTGCCGTTAAATCCGCTATTATAAATCCTGTATAATAAACGTTGTTATATAAATTGTGTAACCGGGCCCGGTCTTGGCTACTGGACTAATACTACCACCTACTTCATCCGACGAACCATATGATGCAGCACAGAAGGTAAGCGCGTTTGAGACACGTTTATCTTATTTTTTTCGACTGTTACAATCAGCCCTTTTTTACGTAATATTCCAATCATTCTATTACAAGGAGCCTGTATAATGATTGCAAATGGTTACAACGTTGCCAACTGTCAGTTAAAATGTTGAATATTGCATAAAACCATGGAAGTGACTCTTCTTTCGAAATATTAGAATTCAATTTCAAGACAAAAATATTCAAAACGATAAACGCCCTTGAATTATGGAGGAACATAATGATGTTCGCATATGCGCGGGGTACTGCTTAAATATAACCAATGGGTTCTGAATTGTAAACAATTTTACTGCAGGTAAATATACTAAATACTTATGGTATCTAATGCCGACCAATTTAAAATAAGTTGTTTACATGTAGTAATTATTAAGGTAGTTCACGCGCGACAGTCGTACACAAAAATATCGCCAATAGTTTGAGATTCTCAATACTGAAAAATGTTATTTTTGTAAGAGACTGAACACAACACATGTAAGCTTATGTACGGATACGTTATTATTTCAAGTAAAATCCATCCTACAACGTCACAAATATATAAATGGTGCGATATCAAGTGTATACCTATAGAAATTTGTGACTTCCTCATACTAATTTTAAGGTTTTGTTTTGGTTCACACAGAAGCGTCGATTCAAGTTCTCAAATACAGTAGACAAATTAATTTTTCAAGAACACGTCACGAGGTTATAACTACCTCTTAGCTGATCGAGTGTATTTCAGTGATTCTGAACTAACAATGTTGCCAAGTTGTAATCATTGTACCCCACTACGCGTCGACTGCTTTAAAAATATTTTTATTTTAAAAATCTATATCTTTTTACCAAAACGGTCAAAAAATTCAGCGTTTTTTTAGAAAATTGTATAACTTCTTGATTTACATTACATTAGTTTTTAAAAAATATAGTAAGAACCGTTTTCGAAATATTTCGAAAAAAATGCATTGCTTATGTACATGACAGGCTTCAAGACTGTTAATTATGCACAATTTCATTGTTAATATCTCGTTTCACAGACGGTCAAAAAGATTTTTTTTTTAGTTAGGTACGTAAAAGACATTTTCTTTAACTTTATATTTTAATTTTATTGAATTCTTAAGAAAAGCCGTTTTACGAATGAACTACTTTAAATATTATTTCAAAAAAATAAAAATAAAGTTTTTAAATCTAAATCTTGAAGCTTATTTTTAATTATATTTAATATGGAACTTATTTTTTAAATAAATTGTACCTATTTATTGTAGATTTTTATTTGCATTTAAATTTTTAAAAAATAGCCATCTATCCAAATAAAACCATTTTAAATAAGAAATTCTTATTATAGGTATTTAAAAATATCAGAAAATTTCAATCGACGCTACCCATTTTAAATTATTCACACCACTTCATGCATTGTCAGAATGGTTAAAATAGAGAACAAACACAATGCCATTATTTCTTCTGTTCCCTCTAACTTGTGTATGACAAAATTTTGCTCTAGTACTTTGTAAATAATAAAGTTTATTAATCTCCGTAATTAGGGAGAGTATTTTTATTATTATTATTTGTGTATACTTATTTTTGGTTGACAAATAAAATGCTTTAATTGGTCTTTATTTTATTTCATATTGGAAGGTATGTAGTCAGAAATACGTATAATATTCTTGCTTCACATATAAAACGGGTTCTTCACAATATTTTTCTACTTTCTTTTCTCCTTTATCAGTCAAGCTTTATAGTAGGTATATTTACTCAAAATGTATACAAATTGTTTAAAGTACAAAATTATTAATCCTATAAAATTGAGTAAATAATATACAAAATGACAAGCCTGTGCATGGTCTATGTAGTATCACAATATTGTGAAAAACTATTACATTGAAAGTTAAAAATATACGCTATAAAACAATATTTTTAAAATCATGTCCATCCGCTTTCATCTAGTATTTTATAGTAATTAACAATATATATAACCCCTTCCATACGGTACGGCACTGCCAAGTTCTCCGTTTGTGTACCTTTCCTCTCTCCCCGTTTAGATAATCATTAAACCTACTACTTCCACAGGTAAGGCGTATCTATCCTAATACATGATCGAATACTAAGAGCGCCTGTACGTGATTTTAGCGATGTTGCCAATTGCTTTTTGTTATTTGTTCTAAATAAATATATTCATGGTAATACCGTTCTATATTATTTTTTGTTTATGAATAATATGACAACTAACATTTTTATTTCTATAAATGTGGTGTTGTCAAACATAGTAAAAGAACGTACATAACAAGAACGACAGTGGCCGTTTTTTCAATAGCTCCAGGCCAGATGATAAAACTAGAATATAAATGTATTTATTTGAGACCTTTTATTTCAATTATTTAATTTGAGCTGTGTCCAGGCCGTTGGAGTCTATGCCAGTTGGCGTAGCCAGGTATGAGTTGATGTTTTTTGGTGGCGGCGAAGCCGCTACCCTACGACTTATCGTAGGGTGGCGGCTCGTAGGGTGGCGGCTTTGCCGCCACCCTACGATAAGTCGTTGCTTCGTTTTCTTGTTGCATATTTATGGACCGGTATGCGCAATCACAATTTTCCATTAACTACTAATTTTATCACAATCCGGCAACGTTGCAATTATATTTTCCAAATTTGACAGAAACCATCGAGTTTCAATGTTTACAGTCGTCAAAATGCTGATTTTTATAGAAATTAAATGATTTTTTTTGGTATAAATAATGCATTTATCGCAATTTATATGTACTACATATTTAAAATACGCTCTTTCTGATAAAAAATAAATTTCTTTAAAATTCCACTGTCCCTAAAGTCGACGGGACCCCAATAAAGTTTTGTTTTTTGCATGAACGTAGAAAAATTTGTTTATTTCTTATAGTGTGTGATAGTGTATTATAATACACATAACATTTGCGAAAAAGCCCTCAGAAAATTACAATTTATGTTGTGATAATGGATAAATTTAAAATTAATTATTTTCCAAGCGTAAGTTCTAAAATTTTGTATCATGCACTAAATGGATATCTACAAAATCACATATTACTCAAAATAGTTCATATCAAAAATAACATCAAACAATAACAAGAAATAAACTAAGTAATTTTATAAATGCTTTGATAAATATGTTACCTGGCTTTCTAAAAAATAAAACAACCAATTATCCTCAACCAGTGTACAGTCGCTGAAAGTTCTCAACGTCATTACGTAACACATTCCTTGAATATCCAACAAAGCTTGTCTCATTATCGGATTCATTAACAACATATTTTCTTCCAAACGTTTAGTGGCGTTTTTTATCTTTTGCCGAAGAATGCTGGTACCCCACACATAAAATCCCTTCCACTTTCTAAAGTAAAAAAACGTTTTTATATCCATGAGTCGACAGTACATTTTATATTCGTTTTCCCATTTGTCCAACGATGTGAAAATTACTTCGTTACCGACGTGTTGCATTACTCCTTTGGCACTCATTGTAAAAAAGTTTGATTTATCGACGTATTGGTACGGTACAACACTGTAATAACAAAAAAAGTGTTAGAAAAACTGTCCATTTTAGCAGCGGGTCTATTTATATTAAAACCACAAAAAATAGTATAATGGGTATTAATTAACAGTGCTGTTCCTAAAGTGACGCTGGGAAACAGTAACAAAGCCTACATAGAACACGAGGCTGATAACCGTAGCAGTTGATGCCGATGTCACAAAAAAAATAGTATATAGTCGTGGTTTACATACTATTTTTTATCCTAAACCAACAGAAAACTTTACATTAAAATGAAATGATTATTATTGTTTCTTCAAAAGAAATTTGAATTTAAATAGACAAGTCTGCATTGGTACCAACCATAAAAATGACAAATGTTTTAGAAAATGACATCAGATTGCCAGAAATCATTTATATATCAGGGCTGGTATATCTAAGGGGGGTCGCGACATAGGAGTTCATTTTGGATGCGATTTTTTTCGAAATAGTAGTCGCCCATTGATCTGTCAATGTGGCAACCTGTAGTCGCTAGGCTTATCAATATAAGAAAAAAATCAATGTTTTTTTTTAAATGACATATTCATTAAAAAATATTTTTTAGGTTAAAATATTTTAATTTAATAAATTATTAATAATCTCACATGTACATAGAATACGTCCTGTAAAGTAGATCACTTTCAATTTTGTGCTGTTTTGGTTTATTTTAAAAGGTAATTGAGGATATGAAGACAATTTTCTTATAGATGGGGATGCATAACAAATTATGGCTCCCTTTTTTAGAGCTCCAGTCCCCTAAGTCTATTTATTTTAGGTCTTTTTAAATTATTGGTGGGTATTATTCACTTCATTTTTATGTTTTATTTATTTTAAATAATTTTGTGTAATATCTTGCGATTTATTTTCTATACATTTTAGCATGTATTTGTAGGGTACATCTTACAAAGGATGGCTTTGAAATACCTTTACAACAGAGGTAGGTACTTTTCTAAAACTGGCCGAAATTTGAAACTGAATACAGTTCTTAGAGAAAATCCCCAGTAAAAAATGTCTGCATGCAGAATAACAGTAGCATAGATTAACAAAGCTGACAAAAGAGTTGGACAAACCTTTGTCAAGCTTTTTTAATATTTCAGGACAATAATGTTAACAGCAGACCACAACAATAATAACCAAAGTTTAGTAATCAAGCAAAATATTTCAGTATCTCCAGAATTATAAACGTATGAAAACTAATAGGAAACATGTATGGCTTCGAATAGGAAATTACCTAAATTAGCATATCTAGTGAATATTGAATTTAAAGAATATAGTTTTAATCAAAACTCTCAGTTTTGAGATGAGTGTAGCCACAATGCAGTTTCAGACACTTATTTACCACAGCACAAACGCATGTACCTATTCATATGTATCATTAAAATAAAGTGGAAACAAATTGCATAATTCGGTATATAAAAAAGTACAAAAAACGAAAAAACTACGAGGAAAACAGTGGTTCATTCCACTTGTACCATATTGACATTATTTTGCACGATGCAGGACAAACGATAACCGTGGATTTCGCCAAACGAACATCAGAAAAGTGTTGCCAACTTAAGCTAACTACTATTTTCCCGCTAGCCTCAGTCACCCCCTCATCAATTTACTGGGTCTATGTCGCGACCCCCTTAGATATACTAGCCCTGGTAAGTACATTTTTTTATTTTTGAGTTAAGTGCATATCTAACATTAAAACTGTCTAAACTATGTACTGACAGAACTAGATAATTGTATTAAGTGCATTAGGCATTCCAAACAAAATGGTTACCAGTGGGTTTTGATAGGTTATGATATTGCCAAATTATGACAACCCTGTAGGCCTGGTGATTTAACAAGGTCAATAAAATAGATGATTGATCATTTATATTTTTAAAAATAAACATAAGCTTATGCCTTGAAGTAAAAATGTAGGTAATTATTTTTTTTTACTATATTCAAAGGCTAAAGCAATATGGCCGCTCGTAAACGACCCGCTTTGAGCAATTCTATCCTATCCCTCACAGGGTTGCCATATCTAAATGTCAATTCCCACTTGTCAGCAGTTTGACAGGACGTTGGAATACCTAACTGGCAGTTAAAACATGACAAGTGCATTTATGTTAGGTTTAAAAATTATTAAATACATGTTTTTGGTAAAGGTCGTCCTCTAAATGCAAATGAAATTAGAATCACAAAAGCGTATAAAAGATATAGGCTCATTTCGGGTAAAAAAAAAACAAGACCTACTGAAATTGTGTAAAAGTGATGTTTTCCCTGAAGAATACCATCAACATTTCCAATCCTTGCCTACCTCTAAAGAGGTAAAAGATTTAGTTACAGAGCCAGCAGTTGAAAATTCTAATGTAGAAGAACTTCTTTTAGGAGAGCAGGATAAATGAAACAAAAACAGTTACTTATTCGCTCCGTGCGAAGTCATGGAAAGGGAAGCAAAAGCGATACTAGCGCTAGCTGCGGATAATTCGTGCATTTTAGGGGGATATTTTGTAATTTTGGCATATCAAATACACGTATACATTTTACTTTTTTTCAAAAAAGTAGGTAAAAACAACACAATAAGCAACCGAAGTTGCTGTGTTGAAAATTGTACAAATACTAGCAAAAAAACAGTGACTCTTATATAACTTATATAACAAATTTCACTAACAAAGTGGAAATTAAATCAAAGAAATAAATGGATAGGTGTACAATAAGAAGAAAAATTACCTTTATTTTTGTGAAAATAACAGTAATGCTGGAAATAGTAGACATCAGAAACTAAAAAGTTTTTAAATAAACAATAAATTATCATTTTACGATGTTCTTTAATATCCCTTTATTCTTAAATGTTCATTCAGCAAGGACTAGATTTCAAGATTTCTGCCGTTGATTATAATATTTGGCTGGTATGCAATTTTGTGACTTACTGATCGGAAACCAGTTTTAATCATTCATTCTATGTTTTCTTTAGAACAAAAATGAAAATATAAGTAGCGATCCTTTTTATACATTTTAACTTCACGCTATTATAAATGGTTTCTTCAATGACAACTTATTAGACTTAGGCAACTTCTCATACATTTTCCAGTAAATACTGTTGCCTGCCTATATTTTATTATTGATTTTTAATGATTATACATAATTTTCTTCAATTTAAGCGTGAAAAATATATAATAATAATAATAAATTAATGTTTTAATTGTTTTATAAATCCATATACTTTTATTAAAACTAACATATATACTTTTTGTTTACGAATTCTATTAAAAATTGTATTTGTCAGTATAGGCAGAAATACTCCTTTAATACCAAAACAAATTGGCGCTGCTGTCGCGCACGGAGCGAATACATCAAAAAGAAGATAAGTGCACATAAAAAGTGTTTTTTGCTAAATGCTTTGCTAGTTTTTAAGTTTTATGATAAATTTTTCTACTGTTTTAAATCCATTTGTATTAAAATTCAGTTCCTAAGTAGAAACAAAGTTTTTCTTTTATACCTGATTTTCCTCAAATGGTAAAGTTAATGCCAGAACGACAACTTTACAAAGAGCTAGCGCGAAATTGTCCCATCGCCCAGGGCGAGGTATATGAAAAAATTTGTCCGACTTGCATGGTGTTACCAGCGAAAAATAATAAACAAGAAGAGTCACCCGGCTTTCTAACTTTCATGTGGCGTTCACAAACACGAGCCGCACCGCCGCGACTCGGCAAAAAATTTTCTGGAATACCTACGAATACGGGATTTCTTCGCAAGTAAATGCGGACTCTGAGAAAAGGTTAACAAAAGACGACACTTCCTGCCGACACTTCTAAATCTGTCTCGGGTCAAAGGTTTGCTGCGTGTCGCACTCGAGGTCACTGTCCTCGAGCATCGCTTCATTTTGAAGGTGATTAGGTAGAAAATTTCTTTCGATCTAGGCAGTGTTGCCAGATTTTGGAACAGTATGGTTAAAAAAAAAGCCGTAGATCTGAACAATAGATTTTAATACAGGGGGAAATAATTAAAATTTGCAGTGTAGTAAATAAAAAAACAAGTATATAAGAAACGAAAAATAAACTGCAGAAAATTTACTGGAGTAAATATTCTTTAACCATTTGCTGAAGAATGAGGCAAACAATAAATTAAGAACAAAATTTGCTAAAGACAAAAACAGTGGATCTACGTAAAAACAGTAGGTCTGGCAACGCTGATCGTTCCATCGAATGGTTATGATGTAAGTGTCTCGCGACCCGTCTCCAAGCTTCCGAAATGTATGGAGCGTTACATTTATGCAAATGTCGTCCATAGGGTCGCCTCGGTGGTCTCGTATCTCCTTACGCGCCTACCGAAATGGTACCTTTTACAGTGACTCTTCTTGTTTATTGTTTTTCGCTGGTGTTATGAAGCCGCTCAGGAAGTTTGGTGTGTACAAGAGCAACAAAATGAAAAGGTCTATGTACTGGGGACTATTACGTAGAAGTAGATCTTGGTACATCTGCTAACGAGTAGCATTGTAATAGAAAATAAAACAGATTTTGAGTAAAAATCAGTGAAATTCAAATAACTAATATTTTACGACTTTTTAGAACACCTAGTATATTTTAAACTTGTAGAATTTGGATAATTGGAAAATATTTTTAAAATAGGTACACGGTATAGAAGACGCCGAATATTGTAGACCACCATATACAGTTACAAATGCACTTGTACTATTTTTTACCTGAAGGCGTAGGGATTAAAAAGCTCATGCGATTTTGGAACAGCATATGTCATATATACAAACAAACCATCTTTGGACTGCCTCATTTTGTTTATCCATTCGTTTTGGTCAACAACATTAACTAGCTCGGCTTTTTTCTTTTTGACCTGCGGAGTTTCAACTTCATCAAATTTGATAGCAGCTAAAATGATTTAAGAAACATTATTATTAAATTATATGCATAAATAAATTATAAAATTAAAATATACAATGGACTATAACAATTAAATTTTTTCATTAGTCCATTTTAAACTTCTCTTTATCCGTTTTCGAATTATCTTCAAAATTCGAAATGTCCAATATTTCGAATACGGTCGAAAATGATCAAAGCGGATTCAGGGGACCTCAAAACGTAAAAATCCACACTAAAAAACAATATGTAACTTCTATGAACATATGCCGGGGGCTCTGGAGGAGCGAAAGACTTGTATAACAGGCTTCTATTATCTCACCCAGAGCCTTCCACATGGTACATCATGGTACATTGCTAAAAAAGTTATGGTGAAAGAGGTCTTATCTTACTAGTAGAATACAAAAAGTTAAACACAGAAGAATATCTGCAATATGGCGTACACCAAGGATCAGTCTTGGGCTCTATTCTATTGTCATGGGAATACCTAAGCCGTCCCTGTAAAGCGTGACCTTGAAGACTGCCATCCGACTCATGGTCGAAACACCGCTGACGTATAGAGACAAAGCACCGCTTCTTTAATCTACCAGAAAAATCAATACGTAGCCGTTGAGCCATAGAGATAGAAACTACGAGTACAGAGTGTGCTTTGTATAAATAGCGCGAGTTCGTCGACGGATAGGCAGTTTAAAATAAAGTATTGGACTGTAAAGATAAATTGTAATAAATAAATTAGAATTGTTAGTTAGTGCTTAAGTATTATATAAATTAATTAATACGTCATAAATAAATTGTAAATAGTGTGTTTTAAATAAATTAAACTATCGTCACACTATGCATAACATACTTTAATGACATTTTTTTGAATTTGAATGTGAATATTGTTCCAATAATGTATGAACTTGATGCCTCATTTATATTTATAAATAATAATATAGAATTGACTAATAGTAACCTTACAGATTGTGAAAATGTAGCTAAAGGATGGTTTTGCAGTAACCATCTAATGCTAAATGAATCTAAAACGTTTACCTTACATATTACAATAGTTTCACACAAAAATATGAAACTGTCAAAATATTGGGACTTCATATTAATACTGCACTAAATTTCGGTCTCTAGGTAAATCAACTTTTCATATTAGTACTGATTGCTAATGAAAAATTATCTTGCTGTTTGTATTTTTTCTCTCTTGCTGAGTTTCTGTTACAATTTGGATAGACTTAGTAAAATTTTAGCAATATACAGGGTTTATTAAGTACTTGTACAAACTTTAAATGGTGAATCTTTGACTTATTTTAAGACAAAACGTTCATATGAACATATGTCCTAAACCTCTTAACTTTTGAGCTACAGGGTGATAAAGTTTTCAGAAAAAAAATTTTTTTTTCTAATAACTGTAAGAATATTGCAGATATTTTAACGAAATTTGGTACACGTCTCCTACGCATTCTGATGCATTTTTAATGTACAAATAATTTTATTATTTCTACCAGTGGCGCCCGTACGGGTTTCGTATTAAATATTTTTGCCGAAAAAAACAGTACGCCACTGCTTCATCTTAAAATAACAAATATTTTTGCAATCCTCATTTAGTTTTGAGCAAATTTGGTCTGATGAGTTTTTTTTCTCCGACGCATAGTTTTCGTCCGACGCATAGTATTCTGCATGGAACAAGTGAAAAAATGTGTCTTTTATTGATCAATATTGTTATGTCATAAACTTAGATTATTTACAGACTAAGACTAAACTACTTTTACAAATAAGTTAATAACATTTACAACAATTGCTGAAAATGCCCGCCGCCTACTGCAACGCATGCGTCAATTCGCCTTAACATTGATTGACGTACTCTTTCGTATATACCTGGTGTCTGATTAATAATGACACACGATTCAAATATCCTGTTTCTTAGATCTTGCTCATTTTGAACGGATGTTTTGTAAATTAGTGTCTTTAAGTGTCCCCATAGAAAAAAATCTAGAGGATTTAAATCTGGTGATCTGGGAGGCCAGGCATGCGGTCCCGCTCTTCCTATCCAACGATTAGGATAATTCTCGTTCAGAAATTGACGTGCAGCCAAACAAAAGTGTGTCGGTGCGCCATCGTGCATGAACCACATCCTGTTTCTGGTAGCCAAATCAATTTCTTCTAAATGTTCAGGAAGCTCGTGCTCCAAAAATCTTCTGTACTTTTCGCCATTTAGCCTTTGTGGAAGAATGCAAGGTCCAATAAGGTGATCCCCGATAATTCCGACCCAAATATTTAGAGAAAAACGATCTTGGAAATTATTTTCAATGATAGCATTGGGATTTTCCTCAGACCAGATATGGTTGTTGTGGAAGTTCATGATGGCGTTTCGAGAAAAAGAAGCTTCGTCTGTAACAAGTACATGGCCTAAGAAATCCGGGGTTGTTAATAATTTATTTCGCAGCCAAACGCAGAAATCTACTTTGAGAGGAAAATCTCTAGGTAGTAATGCCTGTACACGTTGAATATGATAAGGATAAAGTTGTTGAGATTTTAAAATTTGCCACACAATTGTATGCGTAATATTCAATTCATGAGCAATTTTCCTTGTACTAGTTTGCGGGTCTTCTTCAATTCCATTTAACCTAGCTTCTTCAATTTCAACTGTTCGAAGTGTCGCAGGCCTTCCTGGGATATCAATTGTTCTTTTAAAGCTGCCAGTTTCACAAAGTCTTACGTGAATATTAATGAAAGTTTGGACATGTGGAACCACCCGTTGAGGAAATCGGGCTTGATACATTCTTTTTGCAGCTTGTGCATTACCGTGAGCCATTCCGTAGACGAAATGAATGTCTGCCATTTCTGCATTGGTATATTCGTACATTTTGAACACAATAATAGACAATAAATTATTACATACATACATTTTTAAATGACAAAAATCATGATCTTTTTTTTAAATAAGCTGTCATGACTGATTCCGCTACCATGGCTTGCAAGGCTTGCTATGCATGTATGTACAATTGTACATTTTAGCAATTTGACTCTGAAATAAAACGGATTTTATTTTTTAAAGCGTAAACTATGCATCGAACGAAAAAACTCAAGAGATTAAATTTGTTTTAAAATAAATGAGGATTTCAAAAATAATTTTTGTTTTAAGATGAAGCAGTGGCATACTATTTTTTTCTGCAAAAATATTCAATACAAACCCCGTAGGTATGGACGCCACTGGTAGAAAACATAAATGTGTACATAAAAAAATGCATCTTAATGCATAGTATACGTGTACCAAATTTCGTAAAGATATCTACAATAGTCTCACAGTTATTGGAAAAAATAGATTTTTTTCTGAAAACTTTACCACCCTGTAGCACAAAAGTAAAGAGGTTTAGGACACGTGTTCGTATGAACTTTTTGCCTTAAAATTAGTCAGAGATTCACTATATAAAGTTTGTACAAGTACTTAATAAACACCCTGTATACAGAACTTTTACATGTTTCTGTTAGTACTTTAATATTTAGCCTGACAACAATGTCTCGATATTGAAATTCTCTCAAATGTGTTCTTATGAGTTGGTATCTACTTAATTTTAGTTTTAATACGGGATTCTATAAGCAAAGTAGGTATCGAAACAATTTTATTTATATACGTATTAAAACATAATTTTTCAATTTATGTCACCGCCTTAACGCCCCCTATTTTCACCTGAGCCTTCTATTACACTAATAAAGTACAAGTATATTTGCATTCTTAGTGCCAGTTATTATCTGTTTCATATCTTTTTCTGGTAGCAACTATTATTGCAGCTGAAAGTGATTTACAGGAAAGTACACTATTTATTTATAGTGTAGCAACAGTATAAATCAGGGATCCTAATAGGACGACTTGGTTCATTTATAAAACGTGTTCTTGCACCTCAGATAAACAAGTTCACACAAAATATCCCCACTCAAATTAGCAACCGTCTTGCTCTTTATAAAACTCTTTCAGCCGGTTGCAAGAACGATCGTTGAATATTTATAGACTCATTAACGCTAATGATCCATTAAAAATGCATTCCGATCCTCGATAGCTATTGAACGTCGTAAATCTGGCAACACGACGCGTTTCTCGCAATATGACCAATGACATATATCGTTATAGAGATTGCTCTCCCAAATAGGACTATGTAAAGCGCCTTTCAAAGTGTTCACTGAATAAAATGTTCTGGCCTCATATATCTTCTCAGATCGTCAAAGTCCTGCAGGTTATTACTGTGACAGGCTCCTGGTTCACCTACAGTGAATCAGCGAGTCTGTGTACCCCGAATAGGGGTTGCTCAGGCGCCAGTTTTGGTGTCGCAGTTTGCTCTGCGACCCTGTGGCACACCAGAGTGTACTCAAGGTAAACTCAGTGGAGGTAAAAATATTTCCAGGTGGTCACTGCTAGGTAGCCACCACACTAGAATAAATAAAATAAAACACATATCTCCTTTACACCTCGTACCCTACGGTACCCTGAAAGAGAACGGTTAAGAACCAGTAATAAGAGAAACACAGGAATAGGTAATAAAATATATATAAAAAAAAAAAAAATAATACAACGGTAATTAAATAATTATTGCTCCCTGTATTCGGAAAATCTTATTAAAAATAAATTATTACATTTGAAAACTAATTACTTAAATATTAACGGCTCCCTATATTCGGAAAATTTACTAAAAATAAATCATTGGAGCTGAAAGCCATCCAAACATTGACGGGTCCCTATATCCGGAAAATTTATGAAAAATAAATTATTGCAATTGAAAATGATTTAAATATTGACGGTTCCCTATATTCGAAAAATTTATGAAAAATAAATTATTGCTATTGAAAATTATTAAAATATTGACGGATCTCTATAACGGAAAATTTATGAAAATAAATTATTACAATTGGAAATTAATTAAATATTAACGGATCCCTATATCCGGAAAATTTATGAAAAATAAATTATTACAATTGAAAATTATTTAAATATAGGGAAATGTTTATGGTTCATTAGCACAAGAGGCTAA